CTCCAAAGTCCTCCATATATCATGAGCAGATATGCAGGAGGACACCTTGTAGAGAATACTCCTTGGCAAACTTCTATAGAGCAGATCTTTTGATTTAACATTTTTCTTGATTAACTGAGGATCCTCAACATCACATTCCTCCTCTCTTTTGATACTCTTGTTTCCATCACTATCCACTTTAGTGGGTGTAATTGGTCCGTGATTGATAATTATCCATAGGTCAAAATCAGTCACATCCATATGTATCTTTCATTCATTGTAGTGGTGTCCATCAAAAAGAGGGTGTCTACCAATGTGCATTCCTAACTGTACATGGGGGCTCAACTTCAACACCCTCGAATGAATCAATTACAACATAATGACTAATAGCCTCGTCTTTCTTCTCCTCCCCTTTGTCACTTCTACTGTCTTCATATGCTGCAAGGGAGGCTTGTTTCATGGCCTTAGTGAATCCCTTGCCTAGAATTTTGCATTTGTTTAGACCTTGCTCTTTCATCTTGTTCCTTTTTTCTTTTTCAGTTTTTTCATTCTTCCATTCAGTTTTCCACATTGGATAATATTTGACCATGTGGTCCAGTTTGTTACACTTGTAATACCCATCTTAAGAAGACTTGTCAATCTGCTTAGGTTTTCCATTGCTTTCTCTTTTAGGTGTATTCTTGGAGTTCTTTATGAACCTTTTGAACCTAGCAAAAATTGCTAGGTCTAGTTCATCATTATCAGGCTCATCTTCTTCAGACGCTTTAAGAACCAGTGTCTTATACCTCTTTGGTTCTTCCTTGCGTAGTTCCAGACTTCTCATCTCATGAGTCTTTAAGTTTCCAATCAACTCGTCCTGTGAAATCCTGTCAAACTCCTTCGCTTTCTGAATGGATGTGACTTTTGATTCCCATGATGCAAGGAGAATCCTTATAACCTTGTTGACTAGTTCCTCAGGGGTAAATAGCTTTACCAATGATTTTACTTCATTTGTTACGATAGTGAACTTGGTCATTATTTTCTGAATAGGTTAGGACTCCTTCATGGAGAAGAGCTCATAGTTTCTCATGAGCAACTCAATTCTTGATCTCTTCACTTGATTGGTTCTTTCGTAAGCAGTTTGAAGTGCATCCCAGATCTCTTTTGCATTGGAGTAAGCATATATCCTGTTATACTCATCAGGACTAAGTCCATAGATGAGAATCTTCTTCGTCTTTGCATTCTTTTCTATCATCCTGAAGTCTGCCGCCACAAATTCAGAAGAGTCTTTAGGAACATTTTTATTTTTCCCATTTTGTTTGGTGGGAATTACTGGTCCTCGATTCACTATTGTCCATAGTTCATAGTCCTCAGCCGTTAGGAAATCCTTCATTCTTACCTTCCACCAACTATAGTATTTTTTGTTAAATAGAGGTTGTCTGGTAGTTTACTGTCCTTCGTTGATTCCAGGTGGAACACTCATTTTCTTCCAAGATCTCTCTAGGTTTTAACCACGTTTGAGAGAACTCGCTCTGATACCAATTGTTATATTGAGTACATTCCTAAATTACTAAAGAACTTGGTTCTTTATCTTACTCCTTACGCGTAAATAAAATAAATACTAAAAACAAGAATATCAATTTTTACATGAAAATTCACCCCGCTCAAAAGTGCAAAAATCACGATCTACCACGTAGGATTTTAACTTCAACTTCACTAGAACTGATGAGCCAAATGTATTAATTGCGAGACTCGTAAATCAATACCTACACAATTCTCCTACTTCTACTTCTTGTATGAATTACAAGTTACTCTAACTTGCACACTCAAACAATACTCCAACTAACATGTTTCGAATAACATCTTGATTACAACTCAATCTCCTAACACACATGAACTAAACAGACTCGAGAAAAGTGACTTTCAGAACACACTAATTATAGACTTGAGTGTTGAACTGAAAATGCTATGTTAAGTTCTTCTGTTGATGTGCAAAAGGATGGTCTTCACCGTCCATAGGAAAAACATTTAACTTCCCCGTACTCCGAGAGCTTTGGGAGTCCTACATACAGTCAAACTCTCGTTTGCTTGCAATCCTAAAGTTCTAAGGACTCTACGAATCTTGTGACACATGTCTCTCAGATATGCAAGCAGATATTCTTGGGCAACAGTCCTTACCGCATCAAGAGTCCTTTCCTATAATATCGGGTGGCAGTAACTTTGTGTCAAAGTTATCGTCTTGTAAGAACCTTCAACGGTTACTTTGAGAACCTGGTTCTTAGCACACGTTCATTGGACATAATTTTTTAATCATTAAAACCCAATTATCAACGGTATTGAGAACAAGTTTGTACCTTTCTCTTCTTCTTATTTACTTTTCAATGTCAATTTAATGGACTCTCAGTCAAAAGTCATATATGTATGAAATCGCTTGCTAAAAATTGTTTTACATAAGCAATGTTATAAGTTTTACAATTTTTTCTTCTCAAAGAAACAACATAATACATTTCAAATGTTTAGTCGAAAATTTTCTTTCTTCAACTATAAGGGGGTAGAAGTGGTATTATAAGCAATAGTAGTATTATAAGTAGGAAATTACACATAAATACAACTCACATATGTACATTGCAACTAAGTGGCCTATATTTAACTTTGCAAAGTTGTAGCCCAAAAATAATAGGCTAAGATTCAACATCCAACTCCAAATAGGTTCTCGAAATTACTATTTAATTTTTTTTTTTTGAAAATGCTCAAGCTTTTAATCTAATCTTCGAATTAGTAATTGTGACTCAAACATTAGTTCAACAAACCAAATCTATTTGGGTGGTAAAAATTAGATTTTTAAGATATCCACCATTGTTGAACAAGTTTAAATAAGTGGGTTTAAATTTTAAATCTGGCTTTATAAGAAATTTGGAATGGATGTTGTTTAGACTTGTTAGAAATAGTATAAGGAGGTTGTATACAAAATTTGAAGTCATTTAATGAAGATCTAGATTGGTCCACCATTGTTGAACAAACTTAAATAACCGGGTTTAAATTCAAATATGATCTTGTGAGAAATTTAGAGTTGGATGTTAGTTAGACTTGTTAGAAATAGTATAAGGAGGTTATATATAAAATTTGAAGTCATTTAATGGAGATTTGGATTGGTTTTGAACAAGAATTGCAACTGAAAATCGTGGAAGAAGCTCGTCTACAGATGCTTATATAAAGGTGTATAAAACTGTATAATAGTATATAAGAAATGTTTATACATCCATATACACTATTATACAAAAATTGACCTCGTCTTCTTCCTTGAGCCTCTTCTGAAATTTAACTCAAATCTACTGCAAATTACTTCACATTTAAGTTTTGAACTCCTCTTGATATTTTCAATCAATTGGAGCAACACTCAATCCAAACAACTAACAAACTCTAAAAACCCAAATCTAAATTTTAACTCAAAGATTAAAAAAGAAAAATTAAAAAACTAAATCGTGAAGAGTCTTAAAAGCCACAAGCCTCTGGAACAAAAATATTCTTAGTTCTTGCAGTAAGTTTGTCTTGTCGTAACATCAAACGTAATGGGTAACTTGACCAACTACATTTAACTCCACAGCTTTTAGAAGTAGTGGTTGTAAGAAAACGGATTTTGAATTAAGGTTTGTCAGCTAATGCTGGTGCTTCCAAAATATGTACAATATGGATTAGGTCGGATAAAACATAAAAATAGGGGTGTACAAAGGAAACCGAAAAATCGCACCAACCCGATAATCCGAGTCAATCCGAGAAAAAAAACCCGACTATGGTTTGGTTTGATTTGGTTTTGTATTGAGAAAAAAAACCCGACCATAATTGATTTGGTTTGGTTTTAACTAAAGAAAGTCAAACCGAAACCAAACCAACCCGACATTACATATATATAAATTTTAGATATATTTAATATATAAATATACTTATTGTGATGTAATAAATATATATTTCTTAAAGAATTTCATAATTTTAACTTTTAAGGTATTATTTCAGTGTTGGACTTACAACTTTTGAATGTTCCAATAAGTTTTATAGCCATTAATATTAGTAAATTAAATAATGCTAACAAAAGCCCAAACTAAAATCAAATCAATACTAATACTAACAAAAGACATTCAATTCAATACTACGAACGAGAATGTATTGAATATCTATTTTTTGTTTTGCAATAATTCAAATAAAAATGCATAACCTATTTTTATTTTTTCTTTAGTGTTTAGTCATGTAATTAATACTCCCTTATTAATCTACTTATTTTAGCATGAATTAATACTTTTAGATTATATTTATTTTTATTATGGCTTTTTAATTAGCAATATTTATATTACATAATTTTATTGTCTTTGTTGTTGAATATTTTAGGATACGTCATGACATATCTCATATTTTGTATTATTTTCTTGGAAAATACTTTATATAGTTGTATCTTACTAGGATTAAAGAAATACTTTGAGCACAAGTTATATGTTTTGTTCTCCGAAGATTTTACCGGAAAAACCCGAATAACCCGAAAAGCCGAAAAAACCCGAGATTGAAAAACCCTAGTTTTATTGGTTTGGTTTGGTCTTTAGATTTAATAACCCGACACAATTGGTTTGGTTTGGTAATTATAAAATCCGAACCAACCCGACCTATGTACACCCCTACATAAAAATATGGGTCATTTTTTGTTATGATGTGAAGTCAAATATATTTTATTGTAATTCTTTTTCTATCATAAGCAATAGCCATCTGGCCATAAGTGATTATAATAATTCTTCGAAAAGTTGATATCCATGGTAAAACTTCATGATAAAGCAACGTATCTACTTGTTTATTTTTTCACGTTTACTCTTTTTAATCGATCAATACCTAAAACGAAAAAAACATTATTTTCAATTCATCAAACCTGATATTTCCATTATGAGGAAGGCTAGTTTGATGGGATTTTATGATTTTATCACTACCAGCGGATGAAACCTTCGAATTCTTCGTAATAGGCTCGACATTCCCTTACTTTCCAACTCCTACAAAAACAGAAAGCATACATTCCAGACCACTTGACTGGCGTATCCATAGATTAAATGCATCTCAAGAACTTAGCATTAACTCCAAATTCCTATTCATGCCTCAAGGCAGAAAATATAGCTACACCTCATTTATTTGCAACAAAGCCCTAAGATATTACGCCATCAGAATTGACAGTCATCACTCATGGCCAGAAACCCAAATCACACCCATTAGAGATGGACATCGGATTGACTGGTGGTACAGCACTTATTTAATGAACCATACATATAAAAGAAACAACTTATGCAGCAACTTCTTTTCTATATCCACAAACTTGCGGAGATCTTCGACAAGATACAATAGTTCTTTGGATAAGTCCTACAAGATACAACCATAGAATTATCATTTTTGTATTTAGGTGCGACGGAAAACCAAGGTTATGCGTCTTCAGCATCACTCATGCTTGGACGAGTATCAATATAGAACTCAGAGTCAACTCCATCAACAATCCTGCCTCTGTTCACAAACATTATCAACAGCATATAAATGTTATATAGGGAACATTGAAAGTGTGAATACCATTTTTAAGGGGCAAATGTTACTGCGAATGAACATAATAATTTTGAAAAAGAGAAATGAACCTTTCAAGGACATATTTCCCTTCTTTATACTTCTGGCTTTTCTCATGGGCTGCCTCCTGTGTGAAAGATGCACCAAATACTAGCCGTTAACAAGTCTAGCAAAACTACCAGTGTATGTATATTGTTTGAGTTTAAATACATTATTACAGTGTAAAAGTTCAGATCACCTAAAAGATAGCTATATGTACATGAAAATAAGGCAGGTTACCTACAACGATAGATTAAAGTGCAGTGATAGTGTAACAAATCTTGACACTGGCAGTGTGTATATTATTTATCTGCACAACAGAACGTGTGTATGGAATGCAGGAGGGACCGTTTCCCTCCATTTTATTTTTGTGTGTATTCCCATGGTCATGTGTTTTGATTCTGCGTCGGTGCCAACAAGACGGGGATTAGAGGGAACAAAGAAGTAGAAGGAAGAAGAGAAATTACATATTTCCAGCCAACAATCTGCCCACAACAACAACAAAATATATCTGCTACTGTGTGCATTCCAGAAAGCATCATCCTCTCCTCATGAGGTCCAAAAGTTATATTTACCCTGAATCATAGACAGACAGAAAGGTGAAAACTTCCACATATACTGGAGGAGAAAAATAATATGATCGGACTGCAAAGGAAAATAAAAATACTAAAAAATTGGTGCTAACAACACACATATATTGCACCATGAAGAAGGCAAAATAAAGGAGATCATTGAACTAGATGTCTTTGATGCGAATCTGAAAATTTGGAGTTCTCAAAATAAACTGTCATTGGAAAGAGATTGCTTCCCAATCCTAACATAAACTAATTCATTCCATCCTTAATTGAACAACCAGCTTGAGCTGAAAGACGATTCACCTTAGCTTCCTATCAGAAAATAGGCTTTAAAAATAGCAGCATCTTTAATGAAGTAAAGTGATCTTCTACCAACTACAGCCACTAAAAAACTCATCCTACACAGCAACTATGCAATAGAAGTACAGAATTCAATCCAGCATGCTACATTATCTTTCATTTTGACTTCCTAGGTTGCTAGCACAATAATATGGACAACTAATTACATCAATAATGAACACTTGAACTATATTTGTAGGCATCCAGGGAAGCCCAATTCTTGAAGATAGGTGGGCAAGAAGAAATGCAAACATACATGTCGAACATGAAATATGTAGCAACCTTGTACAAGCGACCAACAACAACAACAACATACCCAGTATTATCCCACACCGTGGGGTCTGGGGAGGGTAATGTGTACGCAGACCTTACCCCTACCTTGTGAGGATAGAGAGACTATTTCCAATAGACCCTCGGCTGAGGAAAACATAAGCACCACATTAATGAAAATATAGACAAGAAGGGCATGTTGTTGTATAGACAAGAAGGGACAGCACCAAAAAGTCATATAAAAGCAGAATAAAAACAACAAGATAGTAAGGTGATCAACAATAAAAGAAAACAACGGCTTGTCATAAAAACCTACTACCAACAGAAAGCGAGACTGCGTGCCAATACTACTGTTATAAACACTCAAGACTACCTACTCTACTAACCTAATCCTCGACCTCAATACCAACCTATTAGGGGCCATGTCCTCGGTCAGCTGAAGTTGCGCTATGTCTTGCCTAATCACCTCTCCCCACTCTTCTTTGGCCTACCTCTACCTCTCCGTAGACCCTCCAATGTCAACCTCTCACACCTCCTCACCGGGGCGTCTTTTCTCCTCCTCCTCACATGACCAAACCACCTAAGCCGCGCTTCCCGCATCTTGTGCTCAATAGGGGCCACACCCATCTTGTCGCATTAACCTCATTTCTAATCCTATCTAACCTGGTATGCCTGCACATCCATCTCAACATCCTCATATCTGCTACCTCCATCTTCTGGACATGAGCGATCTTGACTGGCCAACACTCAGCCCCATACAACATCGTCGGTCTGACCACCACTCTGTAGAACTTACCTTTAAGTTTCGGTGACACCTTCTTGACACACAAAACACCGGAAGCGAGTCTCCATTTCATCCACCCGCCTTAATACGATGTGTGACAACTTCATCAATCTCCCCATCCCCCTGAATAATAGACCCAAGGTACTTAAAACTTTCTCTCCTAAGGATGATCTGCAAGTCCAGCCTCACCTCACGTCACCTCCCCTTCCCCCCTTGAGTCTCACCACTAAATTTACACTCCAAGTATTCTGTCTTGGTCCTGCTCAACTTGAAACCTTTAAACTCCAGAGACGGCCTACATACCTCTAATTGCGCGTTCACACCGCCTCGTGTCTCGTCAATCAATACAACATCATCTGCAAATAGTATGCACCACGGCACCTCCCTTTGGATGTGGCGCGTCAATACGTCCATCACCAGGGCAAACAAAAAAGGGTACAAGCGACCAACACTTGTGTGAAAATGTGGCTAAGCCAAACCGTCATGCTCAAATGCACATAATAACTAGCTGATGCTTTTGAGACATTGAAACTTAACTCAAATGTGAAAAGCTCCTATATGCCTCAAGCTCGTTTCTTTACAATATCCTTTTTTTCCTATTTGTACATTTTTGGTTAAACTTCAAACTCCCGTTGTACTTTGCTATCATCCTCTTCTCAACAACTAATTTCATAACCCCACCCCACCCCACCCAAAAAAAAAAAAAAAAAAAAAAAAAAAAAAAAAAGAAGAATAAAAACAAGATTATCAAAAATTAACTTGTAAGAATAACATATTCATTCATAGAACAAGAGTGACTTGGTATCAATCCGAAGTTAAAAAATAATTCAAAGGCACTCACGCATTACTGAATAGGTATGCTTTTCCGCTTCGGCAATGAAAAGCCTGACCAAATAGCATAAAGGAGATTTCATCAGACGTAATTAACAATGCAAATTAAAGTACTACAACTTATGCGGCAAAATTCAACTCAAAAGCAATTTTCTCAGGCAATATACCACGGCAAAGCAAATAAGCTGACAGTTACACAACGAGATAGAAAAGTTGTTGAGTTAAGAGTTAAAGAAGTTTCAGCTAATTTTGGTAGCAAAAAATGGAACTGTCATTAACATAGGCAACAACAGAGAAGAATCTGCAATCTAGTTCTAATCAAAAGCAGTGTTCAATAGGTCATCATTGCAAAGGCCAAATCTTTAACCACTTCCTGGAATTTAAAACTTTCTAAATTAACCAGAAACAGGAAGTAACATTTGCAATAAGCAACATAAAAAAGCTAAGAATTTTAGTTGTAGCCAAAATATACACGGTACAAACAGGGCGGACTTTACCCTGGAAACAAGGTCATCAGAAAGGGCAAGTTGGGTTTTGCAGAATTTGCAATTGTAAGTTCTGCCTTCAAGATCCACCACAAATATCCTCCCCATTTTTAGACTTTATTACACAACCAGGGGTTTGAGGTTTTAGCCACAGAAAAAAGGAGTCCAAATTCCAAAAAACAACAAAAGTACACCGACTTACATTATATGAGTGCGGAACCAAAATGTGATTCTTTTGGACAAATAGTGCTTTAATAGGCGTAGAAAAAAATGACATTTTTATATATAGCGCCCAAATACTGGGCGCTATACATTAACGTTAACTGTGTTGTTAATGTATAGAGCCCAGTATTTGGGCGCTATATATAAAAAGCTGACAGTAACAGGGCGCTATACCCTTTTTTTAAAAATGAGCCGTCTTCTTCAAGACGACCATTCTGCTTCTTCTTCCTCAATATTTTATACCTTGTTCTTCTTGGTCCCCCACTCCCATACTCGCTGCCTCACTATTTTAAAAAAAAAGAAAAAAAATTTGGGTCCCCCGTCACATAAAAGGTGAAGAACGTAGGTCCCACATTCGAGTAGAGCTTCATATTATTGTTGATTCACATTTTCGGAGTCAAAATTTCAATCTATTTGCTTTCCGAAAATTCTAAATCGAGGTATTTCGGTTTATTTTAAGTTGATACTTTTATAATAATGCATATTATTTGATTTGTATGTGTTCTATTTCGGTTTGTGTTTTTTTTTCGAAACTAGTATGTTAAATTTATCTAGATTTAATATTAGTGTTTTATAAAAAAATATAAATTTGTCAAATAAATTTGTCTGTTAATATCCTAATTTATATATATGTGTTTTCATGCCGTTTTGTGTTTTATTTGCAATTAAATTTATTTGTTGTTTATGTTTAGTTTAGATTATTTTTTAGCGTAGTAAAATTTAGACCTTTTTAGCGTAGTAAAATGTAGACCCTTTTAGCGTAGTAAAATTTAGAGCATTGTAGCGTAGTAATGTGTAGTATTTTAGTTTAGAATTCCTTTTGTTTAAGTATCTTATACTGATAGTGGAAAATGCAAACTTTGTACAATTAAGTTAATAATTGTATCAACACACATAATTACTAATGTTAATTTGGTGCCACTGGGCCTCAAAATATCGAGCCCGGAACCCATAGGTGTATATATATATATAATTTGTACAATTAAGTTATTAAAAAATATGAATTTAAATTATAAAACAAACACATAATTATTAATGATAGTTTGGTGCCACTGGGCCTCAAAATATCGAGCCCCGAACCCATAGGTGTATATATATATATATATATATAATTTGTACAATTATGTTATTAAAAAATATGAATTTAAATTATAAAACAAATACATAATTATTAATGATTGTTTGGTGCTATTGGGACTCAAATATCGAGCCTGGAACCCATAGGTATAATTTTTGTATAACGCTAAAAATTGTGTATCTCAAAAAATTAATATTTAATATACAGAATAAAATACAATTAATGTTGTTTTAATTTACAGTTGACGACATGGACGCGACTATACATCCCGGCCTTCGGACGTTGGATCTATTAGCCCTACAGCCCCAGCATAGATCCGAGTATATATAGGACAGACAGTTGCTTACGCAGACTTTCCGGGCCAGGAGAGTGGATCTATTGTGGGACTTTTTGAGTCATAGAGTTCTACATCCCCGCGTGGTCCATTACCTAGAGGAGATGGTATTATATAGGATTATTAGGATTGGCCGGATACAGCTCGACTAGGCTTTGATCACGGCCTTGATTGAGTGGTGGCGATCGGAGACGCACACTTTCCATCTGCCCATTGGCAAGGCCACCATCACACTCCAGGACGCTGAGATTTTATATGGCCTGTTCGCTGATGGCTTGCCAGTTTTACTGCCTGCGACCATGAGATATTATTCGCGGCAGTCTTATTGGGATATGTTGTACATGCTCACGGGTTTCAGGCCGGAGGACGAGATTGTAGCGTCTAGGTCTAGTCGTATGCAGTTGGTACCCATTAGAGACCACCTGGAGCAGATCCACCATACTATCACCGACGAGTCAGCGGAGGTGGAT